TTGTGGGCTGTCAGAAAATAAGCACATACTAATTTTGTAGTCACTAGAGGGAGCCATCTGGCATTTTTCTTCTGCTGTTCATTAAATGTTTGAAATTCAAAATTCATGGTTCTACTAAGGGAAAGATTTGTGTCAGATCCAAACATACCAATTAGTAAGTGCTGCAAAGAAGAGTTCGGATACGCAATTCTCCCTCTGTCTCCCAGTCTTTAGCTAGAAGCTAAAATAATTTTGGAGAACACTATCTCACTTAGGTAAAGTGTATCTTTGTCTTTGAAAGTAGGGTGGGAAGCAGGGTGGCAGAAAAGATCATCTTCATAAACTGTGGAACACATATACAAGAACAAGTTTCTCCTTCTTTCAGGATGAGGTTTAAGAAGGAGTTCAGCAAACTGTCTTCTTCCTGTAACCGTGTTCAACTTACAGGGACGCAACACATCCTCACAACTTTGAGGTAGAAACATTGAGTGCAGGAAGTTACACACCCTTAATATACAAATGCTACAGTTATGGAATCTCCTGACCTAGATTGTTCACTGAGAAATTAGAACAAAACATAAAGAGACTTTGCCCAATCCTTAACTATAAGGTGCTACAGAAAATAACATGTAACTGGATGGAATGTTATGTAGGAACTGCCAGAAGACAGACATGTAAATCAACCTTCAGTGAGTCTTCACAACAAAGAAGAGGCCAAAGACATCCCTATCTTAATTTTTAACAATCCCCTCTTTCATCAAGGTGTCTAAGCTTCCACTCCTAGTCTCAGATGCTGTATTACTTTACAGATACACTTCCATGAACATACCTAGTTATGATGAACAAGTATTTAGAAAAGCTAATATAGCTTACATTTCTGTGAAAGTGCATATAATCAGAGTGAACTATCTTCTCAAAAAAAAATAAAAAAGGAGAGAGAGAGCCTGCACTTCCAAAAGAGAACCTTGAGCAATGGCAAGGCCGGAGGATAAGGTAAAGGCCCAGCTGAAGTGCATCTACACCAATGCATGCAGCATGGGTAACAAACAGGAGGAGCTGGAAGCCATCGTGCAGCAGGCAGGCTACGACTTGGTTGCCATCACGGAAACGTGGTGGGACCAGTCTCATGACTGGAGTGCTGCAATGCCTGGCTATAGGCTCTTCAGAAGGGACAGGCAGCACAGAAGGGGTGGTGGTGTGGCTCTCTATATTAGAGAGTCTTTCGATGTTGTAGAACTCGAGGCTGGGAATGACAAGGTCGAGTCCCTTTGGGTTAGGATCGGCAGGGACAACAAGACTAGTGTCCTGGTTGGGGTCTGCTATAGTCCGCCGAACCAGGATGAGGAGACGGATGAGGAGTTCTACAGGCAGCTGACAGAAGTTGCGAAATCTTCAGCGCTTGTACTCGTGGGGGACTTCAACTTCCCTGACATATCCTGGAAGCACAACACAGCCCAGAGAAAGCAGTCTAGGAGGTTTCTGGAGAGCGTGGAAGATAGCTTCCTGACGCAGCTGGTTAGTGAACCTACCAGGGGTGGTGCCCCGCTAGACCTTCTCTTCACAAACAGAGAAGGACTGGTGGAGGATGTGATTGTCGGGAGCTGTCTTGGGCAGAGTGACCACGAAATGGTGGAGTTCACTATTCTTGGCGAGGCCAGGAAGGGAACCAGTAAAACCACTGTATTGGACTTTCGGAGGGCTGACTTTGGGCTGCTCAGGACACTAGTTGGTGGAATCCCTTGGGAGGCGGTTCTGAAGGGCAGAGGGGTCCAGGAAGGCTGGGCGCTCTTCAAGAGGCAAATCCTAATAGCGCAGGAGCGGTCTGTTCCCATGTGCCCAAAGATGAGCCAGCGGGGAAGAAGACCAGCCTGGCTCAACAGAGAACTGTGGCTTGAGCTTAGGAGAAAAAAGAGGGTTTATAATCTTTGGAAAAGTGGGCAGGCCACTAGGGAGGACTATAAGGATGTAGCGAGGCTGTGCAGGGACAAAATTAGGAAGGCCAAAGCTCATCTGGAGCTCAATCTGGCTACTGCTGTTAAAGATAACAAAAAACGCTTTTATAAATACATCAACACAAAAAGGAGGACTAAGGAGAATCTCCATCCTTTACTGGATGCGGGGGGAAACTTAGTTACAAGAGATGAGGAAAAGGCGGAGGTGCTCAATGCCTTCTTTGCCTCGGTCTTTACCGGCAATACCGGTTGTTCTCTGGATACCCAGTACCCTGAGCTGGTGGAAGGGGATGGGGAGCAGGATGTGGCCCTCACCATCCACGAAGAACTGGTTGGTGACCTGCTACGGCACTTGGATGTGCACAAGTCGATGGGGCCGGATGGGATCCACCCAAGGGTACTGAGAGAACTGGCAGAGGAGCTGGCCAAGCCCCTATCCATCATTTATCAGCAGTCCTGGCTATCGGGGGAGGTCCCAGCTGACTGGCGGCTAGCAAATGTGACACCCATCTACAAGAAGGGCCGGAGGGCAGACCCGGGGAACTACAGGCCTGTCAGTTTGACCTCAGTACCAGGGAAGCTCATGGAGCAGATCCTCTTGGGAGTCATCATGCGGCACTTGCAGGGCAAGCAGGCGATCAGGCCCAGTCAGCATGGGTTTATGGAAGGTAGATCCTGCTTGACAGACCTGATCTCCTTCTATGACAAAGTGACGCGCTGGGTGGATGAGGGAAAGGCTGTGGATGTGGTCTACCTTGACTTCAGCAAGGCTTTTGACACCGTCTCCCACAGCATTCTCCTCAAGAAACTGGCTGCTCTTGGCTTGGACTGGCGCACGCTTCGTTGGGTTAGAAACTGGCTGGATAGCTGGGCCCAAAGAGTTGTGGTAAATGGAGTCAAGTCCAGTTGGAGGCCAGTCACTAGTGGCGTCCCCCAGGGCTCGGTGCTGGGGCCGGTCCTCTTTAACATCTTCATCAATGATCTGGACAAGGGCATTGAGCGCACCCTCAGTAAGTTTGCAGACGACACCAAGTTAGGTGCGTGTGTCGATCTGCTCGAGGGTAGGAAAGCTCTGCAGGAGGATCTGGATAGGCTGCACCAATGGGCTGAGGTCAACTGCTTGAAGTTTAACAAGGCCAAGTGCCGGGTCCTGCACCTGGGGCGCAATAACCCCAAGCAGAGCTACAGGCTGGGAGATGAGTGGTTGGAGAGCTGCCAGGCAGAGAAGGACCTGGGAGTGATGGTGGACAGTCGGCTGAATATGAGCCAGCAGTGTGCTCAGGTGGCCAAGAAGGCCAACAGCATCCTGGCTTGTATCAGAAACACTGTGACCAGCAGGGCTAGGGAGGTGATCGTCCCCCTGTACTCGGCTCTGGTGAGGCCGCACCTCGAGTACTGTGTTCAGTTTTGGGCCCCTCGCTACAAGAAGGACATCGAGGTGCTTGAGCGGGTCCAAAGAAGGGCGACGAAGCTGGTGAGGGGCCTGGAGAACAAGTTCTACGAGGAGCGGCTGAAGGAGCTGGGCTTGTTCAGCCTGGAGAAGAGGAGGCTCAGGGGCGACCTTATTGCTCTCTACAGATACCTTAAAGGAGGCTGTAGTGAGGTGGGGGTTGGCCTGTTCTCCCACGTGCCTGGTGACAGGACGAGGGGGAACGGGCTAAAGTTGCGCCAGGGGAGTTTTAGGTTAGATGTTAGGAAGAACTTCTTTACTGAATGGGTTGTTAGGAACTGGAACAGGCTGCCCAGGGAGGTGGTGGAGTCACCATCCCTGGAAGTCTTCAAAAGACGTTTAGATGTAGAGCTTAGGGATATGGTTTAGTGGGGACTGTTAGGTTAGAGGTTGGACTCGATGATCTTGAGGTCTCTTCCAACCTAGAAATTCTGTGATTCTATGATTCTGTGAACCTAATCACAATGAATTTGCATGTTAGAAAACTAACCAAGCCCCGCACTTAAGTTTTACAACTTCAGTTATACAACACTAGCTTCAGCAGAGCCATGCCTGATTTGTATTGGGGTATGCAAAAATCAAACCAGGTTCAAGAGTTTTCCTCTATATTCTCTTTTGAGATACTAAGACTTTAAATGGTATGTCCATGTGCTCTTAAATCCCATTGTTCAATACCTCTCCAAATAGAAAACCTCACATTAAAACTTTTTACTTCCATATTAAAAGAATCTGAAAGCCTTATACTACTAATAAAAAGCAATATAAAATCATTTTAACTCATTATAACCTTCCCCCACCATCTCATTAGAAACAGGTCAGGAATAAATCAAGTCACTTCCAAACACCTGGCTTCCCATTGACCAGGCAAAACAAGAGAGAATCAGGATCCCCTAATGAAGACAAGCTTTAGCGTTTCTTATAAGGACTGCAGTCAAATGTCAGAAGTTCTAAGCCCTTTCTAAATGTTATTTAGTACAACGTAGACAGATATGTAACAGAGCTGCTGCTGCAAACAGAACACACAGAGCACAGCCCCTTCAAGCATGCTGTCTAGTCACAGCAGAATAGTACTGTTACTGTACTCAGTAAGACAGCCAGAAGTATAGAGAGGATGTTTTTATTAGACACCACTGAACTCCTGAAGGATATTGCTTGATCTAAACAAATTTGATTAAAACAAGAATTTGTCTTTCTTATGGTATCACATACATTGGTCTCTTTGTAGAGACTTACTCATGGTTCTTTCATTTGTTAAGCTCTACAGTTTTTGAGATTATTTTTACATTTTTTTTTGTTTTTGTTTCGTTGTGGGTTTTTTTGGTTACAATTTTTGAGATTATTGTTACAATAATAACAGATGTGAACGTTTTTTGTTTTTTTTGTTGTTGTTTTTTAAGACTTACCTCACGTTGCTTGCCACCACATCGAACATTGACCATTAAACACAGCACCACCTAAAACTGAACAGGTGCATATCAGCCCTTGCCTACTGGTATGCTTTATTCTATTAAGCTTATATATCTCAAAAGCAGATCCTCTCAGGAAGGTAACATTGCTCGTTTGCATTCTGCAGTGCTTGGTGAATCACTGCAGAGTAAGGTTCATTTTCTTTTTTTTTCTTTTTTTTTTTATTTTATTTTTCACATACATTTCAATACTATTAACTCATTTCTGTTCTGTAACCCAAAAAATACCAGAATGAAGAGCATTAAGCAAACATCTTCATTTAAGAACAGAACGAGACTTAAAAACCCAGTCAAAGGGAAGGAATATTCCCTCTCCATCTTAAAAGATAGTAGAACGATGGTTGTGGGCAAGAGTCTGGATATAGCTCATTTCTTTCACTCACTCCATTTTAAGAAATAACAATCCACTTTAGTGTTGCAGCTTTATTTGAAAGTGACTTAAGAGTTTTGTTAACACCAATTTTTATACAAAATTGATACAGTGAAAAACAAACTTCAGAGGTTTCCTAGAGCAGATTACAGGCTGTAAACTCATCATCAAATGCAATATATAGAAAAAAAATAAAAAAAAATCTGTTCAGTCACGTTTACAGACCTGCATCAAGTAATTCTGAAAATCTGGTTTTACTCTTTGCCATCTAGTTTTGCTACTGCGCAAAAAGCACCCACCCAAAGCTTCACTTATTAAGAAAGGAGTCTTACTACCATTCTACCTCACTGCATTTCCAATTTACAGTCACAGTTTTGACAAACTGTAAAATAGAAATACATTAATATTTCCAACAATACGTTAAATTAGTAACGGTCTAATTTTACATACCTGATATTTTAAAGGAGTTTAAGAAGTTATGGACAACAAGACACTCGGACAAAACGTTATGTATTGCAGTTTCCAAAGAACTCAGAAGTCCATTAACAACAAAACAAAAAAATCCCAAACCCTGTAACAGTTTCTTTCAAACCCTACCATTTCAGCAGTTCAATTTCACACCTGCTGGGATCTATTTTTTTTTTCTATGTCTATAGTACAATATCCCATCACATGTACTGGCAGTGTTAGTAAGATCCAGAAAATTAAAAAAAAAAAAAAAAAAAAAATAGAGTCCTGCAATTCTTTTACCAGTCTTACCACATGCTTGGAATAATGTAAGGCTCCTCACAAAATTAATCATTTTTTGTTTGTTTGTTTAACTTTTATTCTTACCTTTATATGCAATTGGCTTTCTCAAATAGAAAACCTATTTTGAGGACAAACTTTCTCATTATACATACAGTTTCCCAAACACCCCATTTTGACCAGGACAGGGAGGGAGCAGGGATGGGGTAAACTGTAAAAGCTTGGTTCCATGTCACCCTTGTAGTCACAGGAAAGATACTGTTCCTCAAATAGTAGGCTGCAGAGAGCTACCAGACAAGAGCAAATAGTACTACTCCAACTACGAAAATAACTGGTAGTGTAATTCTTGCGCTTGCTATTCCCTGTATCCCATAAAGCAAAATGGTTCTGAATCATGCCATGTCACGCAATCACATTATTCTTTGTAGAAGACTGAAAGGGTCTGTTTTCTCCTACCTGTTAGGCTTTATTATTATTGGGCTCAATCTGAATTGCTTTGTTGTGGCCCTTCAAGTACATGTGCTAACTCCACAAAGGAACAGCATCAGTGTAAAAGGCTACTAATCAGTAACTCCAGAAAATCTGCAACTTTAAGTTATTTCCTGGAAATTGGAACTTCACTTCCTGTTCATGTTCTGCCTTTTCCTCTCATCTCTGAAACACACATAAATCCTCCTTTATGACCCCTCTCTACCCTGTGATACTAATGTAAACAAAATCCAGTGATAGAATAATCAAGTTTTTGCCAGGGAAAAAGAAAAGCACCATACTGTTAAACCTTTGTTTCTTCTGAAAGAGTTACAGCAACTTCCAAAGACCAAAGTCTCATGCATAATATTGCTCAAAACCTTGCTCCCAGGTCCTTTGTATTAATGTACTCTGCAATGTTTTGAATCCTGGTATTAAAATGGAAGAGATACTGAACATTCCATGCGGTTACAGGAACACTGAATATACCTGTGAAATTCTATTTATGTTAAATCTGTGTGCAACAGACCTACTTTGTGCCTCGTGACATTTACAATGCAGATTTAGTTCTCCTGCGAGGCTGATGAGTCATTTACTGTTCATTGGCATTGAACGGTTTTGCCATAGCCACCTCTTCCAGCATCATAGTCTTGTCGATATTCATCTCGGACCTTACAAAGGAGAAAAAAAAAAAAAAGTCTGTGAAAGATATAAAGAAAACTATTTTCTCAAGAACTATTGCACCATAAGACTATCTATTTCTCAAGAACTATTATACCATCAGACTACATAGTCAAACTAGAGACCACTGTATCTAAGTGTCCACAAGAAGTTGACAAGACAAAAGAGAATGCAAAGTGTGTCATGAAGAAGCCCACAATACCACATACACAAATTTCCTTTTTAAAGGAATTGGGCATTATTAATCAAGACAGCTAAAGTGAAGGTGGCTAGTCTCATTTTTTCAGCAATAAAAGCATCTGCTACCTGCTCAACTTTAGGTAAGCTAAGTGCCATCCTTTGTGTTCTTGACAGTCTCACATTTTCTGAGCTTCATTACCCGAGACAGCCAACAAGTTTCTAAAAGTACTTTCAGTGAAATAAATACATGAAAAATGTTACATGTTCTTAGTGGATATCATCATCACAGATAAAATGTCTTCAGAATTAATGCATATTACTATCTTTAACAACAAGCCTGAAGTTGCTGTTTCTTAAGTTGTTCTGAGTGCGTTAATTCAAATAGCAATTATTCAGCAAAGTCACCAGTCCTTTAAAAACTGGACTGTACAACAACCTACCTGGCCCCCCGATCTTCCACGACCATACTGTCTACCCTCCTTAAAACCTGCATCCCAGTCTGTCCTTATGATCCTATCATCAAGTCTGGTTCCATTAATGTACCGCATTGCATTTTCAGCATCTCCTCTTGCATAGTATCTTATAAATAAGTTAAAGGAAAAAAAAAACAGGCTTCTAATTTCTGCATGTGGAAAGAACAAATATATCCCATGAGCTGCAAAACCAAGTATTTGTTTGAATCAGGTTCCTGCTCAGTTATTTTTAAAGGTGCCTGCCATTACGAAGCTACAGGGGCTAAGAAAACTAACATTAAATCAGAGTAATGTGCAGGAATGTACATGTCAGAAGTACATACATTGGGTCAAGTTGTGGAGCCACACTCTCCCTCAGAAGCACCAAGGTATGTTACCAAACAAAGAAAGAGAAGCGCCACAAGTGTTCCTGTCACGTCCAACCACCATCACCTCAGCATAACAGAGTGATCCTCGGCAACACTATGGGCCAAAGCCAATGCATCAATCATGCAATGTACCAACAAAAACCCTCAGACACGTACTCACACTTACAGGAACCCACCCTCCCTTGGGCACCAAGGGCAGGTTCGTCCTGCAGAGCTGGACTGGCTGCAGGAGCCAGGGCTGAAGCACCAGGCTGAAAGCGGCCTAAGGGCCCTTGCCTTCCACCCACTATGCTGCCCAGAATCATAGACAGGGTTGGAAAGAACCTCAAAGCCCATCTAACTCCAATACCCTGCCATGGACAGGGATACCACCCACTAGATCAGGCTGGCAAGGCCCCATCCAGCCTGGCCTTGAGCACCTCCAGGGATGGGGCACCCACATGAGGGCACCTCAATCACTTTGTGTACAGCAGCTCCCCCACAGGGCCCCCAGCACAAGGATACTCCACGAAGCAGAACCCGCAAGCGGTTTTCTTCACTTTGTCCAGCCCCATGATGATCTTCTTGATGTCGCCACTCTTGCCAAACAGCTCATGGATCTGTTCTTCGGTGGTGTAGAAGGACAGGTTCCCCACGTACAGTGTGCAGCTCTTCCGCAGCAGCCGCTCCTGGTCATAACGGGTTCCCTGCGGGACGGTCGCCAAGTCAGCCCATCTCCTAGGTACGGCCGCCACGTCGGCCCATCTCCCGACCACCCCCGTCACTCGGCCTCCAGGTCAACCCGTAAGCCAGCCACCCAACCGCCAAGTCACGCCGCCACGCCGTCGCCCGGCCGCCAGGAGACCCCGCGCCCCGGCCCCGCTCCCGCTCCTGCCGCCCACCCGGAAGTGCTGGTCGCGGTACTGGCTGAGGTCCACGTAGGAGTCACTACGCAAGATGCTGAGGCTGCCCCCCGAGCACATGCTGCCAGCGGCGGGGCGCGTACCGGCTCTCGCGAGATCCGCGCCCGCCGGGGCGGGGACGAAGGCGAGGGGGCGGGGACTCTCGCGAGAGCGCTCGGTGCCGGGGCGGGCGCGGCGGGAGCATGGTGTTGCGGCGGCTGTTGCTGGCGTTGCTGAGCGACCCGCGGCTCGTGCAGAAGCTCTCCGAGGCGCCGCCCATCCGCGCCGCTGCCCGCCTCACCGCTAGCGCTCTCAGCCGCGGCCAGCTGGGCGCCCGGCGCGCCGCGCGGGAGCTGGGCCCCGGCCTGGCCCGCCTGAGGGATGCCTTCCTGCGGCCGCCCGGCGGATGGCCAGGGGCGCCTGGCAGCGGGAGGGGCCGCGGCGGCCGGCCCGGGGCCGAGCCCTGAACGGCGGCACGAGGAGGAGGTTGAGGTGGAGGTGGAGGAGGAGGAGGAGGAGGAGGAGGAGGAGGAGGAGGAGGGCCGCCGGCGGGACAGAGGAGGAGAAGGAGGAGGAGGAGAGGACCGCCACCGCCGGACAGGAGGAGCGTGACGAGGCGAAGCTGCTGCCATGGACTTCAGCGCCGGCCCGCACTCTCCACAGGACTCGGCAACACGCAGAGGACGGACTCAGCGTTAAACATCAACCAAGATACTGTCAGCATTGCCACTTTAAGTGCTTGATTAAGAAACTTGAAATAAAGCCATATTTCGCACCGGAATTCCGTTAACAATTCCTGTCTGTACAACAGTAATGTTCTACATTTGTATGGCAACTAAAATACAAAAAGCTCCGAGAGTGCTTGATGATGAGGATGGTGGTGATGGATAGGATAATGCCCTGCTTTACAGGTGGGTGCAGGAGTTTGGTAGCTTTCCGAAAAGCACACCTTAAGACAATGGTAGCAAAAAGGGTTTAGGGGAAAAAAAAAAAAAAAAAAGCCAAATACTGCTATCCTAACTATAAATAGAGAAAAATAAATGAGAAAAATAAATTCTCTTACGTAACACACAGGGCTGCTTTACTCTCATCGCTGTTTCTAACACTGTCCATGAGACTAAAATTGCCATCCCATACTGTGTTTTACTATGTACAGCTGCCTAGATGCTTAGTTAACTTGGGAGGGAGGTTTCCAGTCTTGCTCCAGGTGAAAGAACCTTGCAAACCAGATGAGATGCACAGTTTCCTGCACTGCTGGTAAAATTAAACTTCCTGCCAACAAAGACTTAGGAGTGCAAGGATGGAAAACCTGAATCTGTAGTATAAGTGATAAAAGTAGCAGGTGAGACAAAAGCAGTGTAATGTCATTCTGAATTAGTGTTTGTAGCCCAGAGTCTCTTCTGGCTCCATCTCAGGTTACCTGTGTAGCAGTGGAAGTGTCAGGTTATGGAATTGGTGCTTCATCAACTCTGAACAGTTTCAAGATCTACCCTGCTTATACAGCCAGAGATTGTAAATTTCAAAATAATTTTCAACTTTTAAAGAAAGCTGTTTAAAAACAGCTCAAAACAGTAAATGGGATGTGGAATACAAGCTGTGGCACAATACTGTTGTCCCAGTGTAAAAGAGCAAAGAGGAATTGAACTTGGAAAATACAGCTGGTAAGTGTCATGATGCTTTTGTAACTTCACTACTGGATGAGACATCAGTACAAACACACATGCAACCCCTACCTCACCAAAAAACACACACCTTCATTATGCAGGCCTGTCAGTAATGAGGGATAAAGGATCTTACAGTGAACACGTAGGGGAGGCTTTTAACACAATACGCTTTATGAGAGAGATGTTCCTTAAAAATCTAGACTGAATATTTAATTTGGAAGATAAGAGGCAAATCCTTCATGTGGATTTTTCTTAGCCTCCCTTTAGACTCTGGTATCAACCATTCTTGTCTCTGTTGAAAAACTGGCAAATAAGGTCTTATGTAAAGTTGTATGGATGAAGAACTGCAAAAAGCTTTACTGCCATTATAAGCAGAAAGAATTAGTGTCAGATTCAGTTCATAGAGAGGGGTGTTACAAATGTACTGAACTAGTACCTCCCTCCAGGTCAGGATGTTTCTGCATTTGAAGTTCTAAATGTTCTGAAATAAAATGTTTAGTCATGCTGCAGTATCCTACTTTAAAATGAAACTGGTCTCAACTAGGGCACCAGGGCTGTGATCCATCATTCCGATTAAGCTGGGAGCTGATCCTGAAAGGTGAGGGGGCATAGTGAATGTGACTCCTCCCTGGTAACCTGCACGCACCCTGGCAACAGAACTGGTGCCCCTCTAACCTTGCCATCAACCAGTTCAGAGATCTGTCTGGTCAAATACATAAAAGGAATTGGGCCCCTCCAAGGTGCCAGTTTTCTGTCTGCACAGCTCCTTGAATCAAGCATTGCCGGGCACAGAGCCACCTGAGAGCAATGAAAGCTGTGACACTCACCTGGAATGCAAAAAGGACCTGCCCCATTTCAGGAGCTAAGCAGCAGATAGGCTTAGTCACATCAACCAGTGACCTCGCATTGATGTATGTAATATTTGTGCAGAATTTCTACAGGAGTGAAACTGGCAAAAACAATGCTTGGATTTTAGGATTTAGCATAATTGCCTATACTGAAGTATCTTCCGAGTTCTAAATCAGATTCTGTTAGATCAATACTAGGGATTTTTCAAGACAGAACCACCTAAGAGCATCTCAGACAATAATAGCATGATGCTAATGCCTATATTGTGACTGCAGTCTGGTCTAATGAGTGAGGAGGTTCTGTCTAGTCCAGTAACCTCTCTCCGGCAGCAGCAGTGTTAATGTCTGTTATCAGTAACACAGTCCACAAGCCCTCTATTCAAGTCTGTAAGAACTTTTAAAGTATATCTCATGTGAAAAGAGCTAAGCTTGAATCACAGTTTTTGTGGACTCTAAGTTCACCCTCTCTCATCAGGAAAATTACACAAGTTCTTAAGAAACACCACAGGGACTGAATGACTTGCATCTAGCAAGAGCTGGCTATCCTGAGGAGTGTACAAACATGAAGAAAGGGAATGAAGAGAATCAGGGAGCTCATGGACACTGCCCATACTGAGCATGGGACTGTGACAAGGGGGGTCTGACAGCACAGAGTCAAAGTGCAGTGAAAAGCTATCACATTGTTCTAACATCTAAGGGCTCTGATGATCTCTGCCTAGCTGAAGGATGTATAGACCTAGCTGACTTCTCCAATTTTCACTGAAGAGGAAGGATATTTGTGGTGGGTCTTCCATTGATAAGTGTGGAAAGATCAAAGTCTCGTTCTTGAGCAAGACACCACACTTTGTAATTGTGGCTCTGACTGTTCCAGGGATTATAACAAAAAAATGGCAGTCATTGCAGGTAAAATTCTTTGCTTGCTGCCCTACTGTTTGGCAGAGGGTTTCTTCTTCAGATCCAGCCATATCGATTACTTCTATATTTGTGTCCCTTTTTTTGATATTAAGCAGAGACCTCGGAGGCATGTAGGTGTGAGCAAAGAGTAGAGTATAGTGTCTTGTATGGTTTGAGGACCCTGGAGAATGCATGAGATGTTCCAGGTGAAACAAACATGGTATCAGTCCCCCCTGGTGTAGCCACCCAAACACCAAAGCCCCAAGGACATTGAAAATAATAATGACAGGTTTCCACTTCATAGCTCTGTTCTGTGATGTGTTGAACAGGACTAATGGCAAGATGAGAGGAATGAGAAAACGAGGTTCTTGGTGACTGAACAGGGAGAGGAATGCCAAAGGAACAAAATAAAACAGCAGTAATTTTGGATTGCCCTCAGAATGCACAAATACCCTAGGTGACCCACGGTAGTATGATTTGACCCGCATTAATTGATAGATGTATTTCTTTAGCATTTTAAAACCGGCACCAATGGCCAGAATATGTAAGATCCCAAAGAGCATTATTCCATTGACTGTAAAATGTGTAACTCGTGGGTGACTTCCATGCTGCGCAAGATTATGAGGATTGAGATTATAGCTGAGAAAATTTAAAGGAGTTACTACCATTTTGTGATTCAATTGAGCTATTACATCAAATAGGCTGCTCTTTTTAATGCTGTAAAAGTTGTCTAAGCCCACGGAGGTAAAATATAAGGTGTCAGCTGTTATGAAAACAACGGCAGTAAAACATGCACAGGTGATTAGCTTCAATAAGGGGTTTATGATAGTTTTAATGCTCTTTTGGGAGTCAACATTTAAACCTGCCCAGTAAAGCAGGGGCATTAGCGCAAATGCCAAAAAGGTTGGCCTATTGAAAAACCCAGCAGTTGTTACAATACCTATGAGAGGGCTGCTTGTAGGCTTTAGTGAGCTGCTGTCAGATTTGTTGGAGGAAACCAATACCAAGAGAAGAGCAAAGAGAAGTCCTTCAAGCGTGTTGGTAAATGTTCTTGTGTAAAATACCAGAGTGACATACGATCCAGCCAGAAGTACCAGCGCTTTCCATGGATCTGCTTCCCAGGATGGAGCTAATTGATACACGCTATAGTCAAGTACAAAAGAAAAGATTGTAAAGAGAAGACGAGGTGATACAAGAAGGGTGTAGCTGTTGATGCAACTTGAACATATGTCCAGCTGCTGCAAAGACTTGACCACCCAGTAGGTAACTCCAGAAGTCATTAGTGGGAAAACAACTGTTCTGCAAGGAGAGCTGGAATGGAACTCCCAAGGGTAATAGACCTGTAGGTTTAAAATATCTCCTACAAAGGAAGAAAGAACAAAAAAACAAACATACATATTACATTTTACTCAGTAATTCGGCAATAGGGATACAGCTTAGTGTAAAAGGCATCATGATGCAGTGCAGTCCCTAAATCTTTGGGACTACTGTCAACCATGATTTTTTTAGGATCACACCATTAATTTTAACCAAGTTTCAGAGACGGAACCACATCTCTTAGGGCAGCACGGCTCTGGCCAATACTTACTTGGCAGTAGCTGCCACAAAAACCAGAACACCAGGGGCGGCCGCCGGGCTCCCCGCTGCCTGCAGGGACGGCGTAGCAGAGGGCACCCGAAGCAGGGCCGGCAGCTCCCCGCCTCACCTGCCGCCTTTGTGTCCCCTGGCCCGGGACCACGCCCGGGACCACCACCGCCCACGAGCGGCGGCGGCGGGGCCCCCTCACGTCCCGCGGCTGCCCCGCCCCCCGCGCCCCCCCCCCCTTCCCCCGGGGCCGCCGCCCTCCCCCCCCGGGTCGCCGCCCTCCCCCCCCGGGTCGCCTTACCTGCCATGACTTCGGGTGACTGGAAGAACTCGTCGGGATGCAAGTAGCCGGCCTGTGGCAGCAGGCACCAGCCCGCCCGCAGCGCCGCCAGCACCGCCCACAGCCGCCACGCCGCCATCTCGGGACCGGTCCGGCCCGGCCCGACGGGGGCTCCGCCGCGCCACCAGGGGGCGCTCACCCTCTGCATAGTCATGGCGGAGCGACCGGGCGCGCAGGTGCGGTCCGCTGAGGGGGGACCACAGAATGGGAGTTGCTGGGGGAGAATAGCCAAAGGGAGTTGGCTCCTCCAGGTGGATAGAATCTATGAGAAACACTCTGTAGTCAATAGCTTAGGCTCAGGCGAAGATCTCAGTGAAGTAGTAATTTATTCGCGATTGCAATGGCGGGCGCCCCACAAGCAGGAGAGCGCACCTACTAGTCACGCAATACAGTTTATATACTTTATTTCTTGATGACGAGGCTCTCCTCTGTTTCCCAATTGACTGGGTAATCCAGATTCACAACCTATCCGATGCTTCACAGACAATACATGTCCTTCAGTTGCCAGCCTGTTACTTTTCAAATTTATTTTGATTTTTTTACTGTTTGAAGTGGTAATGTTTCTTTACTTATCTGACTTGACACCGTGATTTTTGCCTAATTGCTCAAAGGAGTCTGGTTGTCTGCAAGCTTTCTTGTCACTGCAAGCATATCTCAATACCACGTTCCTTACCTCTAAACGATGTAACCCTGTGCTGATTAAGGAGACATTGAGAAGGCAAGGACAATTTCCAGATAAGGACTATATATCTCAAAAGAGGACACTGGAATTCATGATAAGGAGACAGCAAGCAGAAGAATCAACAAAAGCCAGTTCTTGCGGTTAGGAAACGGGCCAACTCAGCAGAATCCTGATCAAAGGTGAAAAGTACACTGTGAGGAAGACTCGGGGTCTTCCTCCCAAAGACCACTGCCCACATCCCGAAGACCCCTGCCTGCCATTCTTGGGAGGCTTTGCGCAGGTGCAAGGCGCCAAAGAGCTAATTAGCATGAGAAGTGAGGGAAGGAAGGGATAGATGATGAATATGTATAGGCACTTATAGAATATTAATAGCTTGATTGTTCAAGACTGCTCTCCGCTTTGGGTATGCACGATAGGCAGAGAGATCCCCCGTGCATCCAGTGCTGCAATAAAGAATATACCACTTAAGGAAATTTCGGCTTCAATCTTTGAATCAGTGCAAAAACATTTTTATTCCCACAATTCCCCCCTTTTCTTCTTTATAAATTGTTGATTTTTGCAAAACATTTCTCTAGGTGCAATTTGGTCTATAGCTTCCTTTTCTTCACTTTCTTTGCTTTCCATCTCCTCTAATACCACCTTATCTAAGTAAGGTGGTGGCTCCATGGTCATTTGTTTCAGTAGTGCAGTTTCAATTAACCACTGTACTAGTCCTCTTACACAGGGGATAATGCAACAACCAGTGGCTGTCAAAACTCCTGCTACTATGATCAAGGATGTAAATATGAACACTACCATCCCTTTCCATTTACCAAACCAAGATTCCAACCATCCAGTGATGGAAGCGTCTGTTCCTAGGTTTTCTGCCAATTCACTGGGAAGGGTGGTAAGCCCTTGCAATGCTCTAGTTACTGTGCCATTCAGGGCAGTATTGTTGGGTATAAAAGTGCAACAATGGTTGCTCAGTATCACACACACACACCTCCTTTCTCCACGAGCATCATACCTAATCCTATTCTGTTTTCCCAAGCCATTTTGCTGGTGGCATCTAATTGTTCAGTGATTCCTCTTATTGCATCCCTTGTATAATTTATGAATCTCTGCTGATTATAGTAAATATAATGTCGTGGTTCCGCTCGAGTGAGCAGCTGAGCTCCACCACAGCCGCTCTCTCACTCCCCCTCCTCAAAGAGGAATGGGGAGAAAATATGATGAAAAGGACTCAATGGTTGAGATAAGGATGAGAAAATCACGCAATAATTATTGTAACGGGCAAAACAGACTCGGCATAGGGAGATAGTAAGATTTATTGCTTATTACTAACAAGCTAGAGAAGTGAGAAACAAAGGAAAGAAACCAAAAGCACCTTCCCCCCCATCCACCCTCTTCCACCTCCTCCCCCCAAGCAGCGCAGGAGAATGGGGGAATGGGGGTTATGGTCAGTCTACAGTGCTTCTTCTCTGCTGCTCCTTCTCGGTCACTCTCGTACCCTGTGCTGTGGGGTCCCACCCATGGGATACAGTCCTTGATGAACTGATCCGGCGTGGGCTTCCCACAGGCAGCAGCTCTTCCAGAACTGCTCCAGATATGGGTCCGTACCACAGGGTCCATCCCCCAGGAGAAAACTGCTCCAACCTGGCTCCCTCACGGGCAGCAGCTCCTGCCAGGTCACCTGCTCCTGCATGGTCTCCTCTCCACGGGCTACAGGTCCGGCCCGGAATCTGCTCTGGCAGGGGTCTTCCACAGGTGGCAGCCTCCATCAGTGCAGGACCACCTGCTCCACCGTGATCTCCTCCACGGGCTGCAGCGTGGAACCCTGCTCCACCGTGGTACTTCATGGGCTGCAGGGGGACATCCTGCTTCACCATGGTCCTCACCACAGGCCGCTGGGGACTTCTGCTCTGGCGCCTGGAGCACCTCTCCCCCTCCTTCTTCACTGACCTTGGCACCTGCAAGGCTGTTCCTCACTCCCTTCACTCTTCCAGCTGCTGTGTGGCGCAGTGTTTTTTTCCCTGTCTTAAATATGCTCTCACAGAGGTGCAAAACAACATCGCTTATTGGCTCGGCTCTGGTCAGCAGTGGGGCCCTTACCAAACATGGGGCAGCTTCTAGATCCTTCTCACAGAAACCACCCCTATGGCCCCCTGCTACGAAAACCTTGCCACGTAAACCCACTACAATATAATTAGTCCAATCCCCATTCTTATTGATTGTTACCCACCAGAACAGTGACTCAAACCCTGCAACAATTTGGTTCCTGGCTTTCTGTTCATCAGGAACTCCTTTAGGCACCCCAACAGAATCTATGTATCTCTATCATTGAATGATACTCCTAAGCTTCTTTCACTTCTTCTGGGTATTTCTGAGAGAGGGAGTTAGGAGAATACAATAACTCACTAACCTTTTACTGACTCCACAATCAATAAGATTGTAAAGTAGGTAGGTTTATTCAGCACCGGGCAGCATGGGTGGTAGTCCCACCAAAGTCGTGTGCACTTGACACGGCAACTTGCTTTGGTTTTATGTAGTAAAGAGTTACATATGCATGAAGTTTCACAATATGCCTATACATATTCATAACCGGTCCCCGCTTCATATTAAGATTAGTTCCAAGGAGTCATTTCCATAAACTCCTCCCATCTGCACTTGCGCAGTGTATTCTGGTGGTGGTCATCGGGGGTCGTGGGGATGAAGACTGATGACTCTTCCTCATCACTGCTAGTTGACCTCTTGTCTTTGTGCAGACTCAGTTGCTCCTTGGCTCTTGTCCATCCGCAGGATCAGTTTACCAGTTTCTTAAGATAGGCTCACACTCTTTATTAGGAGACTGACCTTGGTAAAGGGGTCCAAGGCTTCTTGCTTTAGTTAATTTGCACAGTGCACCATAGTTAGCAAAGACACCAAGTAGCATCCTAGTTTAATGCCGTCAGCGCTCTATCTCTACTTGATAAGATTCTCCTAACTCCCTCTCTTACCGAAAGCAATGTATTGTCTGTGAAGCACTGGATAGATTGTGAAACTGGATTACCCAGTCAATGGGGAAACAGGAGGGTCCCGGTCATCAAGGAAAAAAAATATATATATATATACTGTGTTATGGAACTAGTAGGTGCACTCCTGCTTGTGGGACACCCACCATTGCAATTGAGAATAAAAATGCTGCTTCACAGAGATCCTTGCTTGAGCCTATGTTTTTGGCTACAGTGTTTTTCACAAGGTGTTAGTGTTTTAAGGTTTCCCAGCTAGGGCAGTAGGGTTGGGTTTCATGGTTAGGGTTTTCAGGGTTTAGGGTTAGTATTTTAAGGTTTTTAGGGTTGGGGTTTTAATGGTTAGGGTTTTAAGGGTTTGGGGGTCAGCATGTTAGGGTTTTAGATTTTGGGGGATTTTGGTGTTGATACGGTTTTTAGGGTTAGGGTCTTCAGTTTTACTGTTAAGGTCTTAGGGGCTTTTTTGGTCAGGTATTTAGGGTGAGGATTTTAAGGTCTTTTTAGTTTAGGGACTTAAGGGTTAGGGTTTTAGGGTTTTACAGTTCAAATTTCTTTGGTTAGTGTTTTTAGGATTTTAAAGTTTTAGGCTTAGGGTTTTAGGGTGCTAAATTTTTATGGTTAGGGATTTTAGGTTTCGGGCTGGAAGGCTTTTCCTCAGGGTTGAAGCTGGAGGGAAAGGGGCTTTTCCACAGGGTTGGGGCCTGGAGGGAAGGTGCTTTTCCGCAGGGTTGGGGCTGGGTAGGAAGGTACTTTTACTTAGGTTTGGGGCTGGGTGGGAAGGGGATTTTTCCTCAGGGTGGGGGATGGGCAGGAAGGGGCTTTTCCTCAGAGTTGGGGCTGCATTGTAAGGGGCTTTTCCTCAGGATTGGGCCTTTTCTTCAGGGTTGAGGCCAGGCAGGAAGGGCCTTTTACTCATGGCTGGGGCTTTTCGTCAGTGCTGGTGCCGGAGGGGAAGGGGCTTTTCCCAAAGGTTGGGTGTGGAGGGGAAGGGGCTTTCCTCACAGTTGAGCCTGAGGGGGGGGGCTTTTCCTCGGGGTCAGTGCCGGAGTGGAAGGAGCTTTTCCTCGGGGTTGGGGCTTTTCTTCTATGTTGGAGCAGGAGGAGAAAGGGCTTTTCCTCGGGGGTGGGGCCAGACTCGAAGAGGCTGCGTCCCCCGGGGTGGGGACAAAGGGGAGGGTTTTTTTCCTCGCAGTTGGGGTCCGGAGGTGCGGCGGCGGCGGCTTTTCCTCAGGGTTGGGGCCAGAGGGGAAGGGGCTTTTCGTCAGGATTGGGGCCGGAGGGGAAGGGGCTTTTCTTCAGGGTTGTAGCTTTTCCTTAGTGTTCTGGCTGGAGATGAATGGGATTTTCCTCAGGGTTGGGGACAAAAAATGGGACTTTTCCTGAGGGTTGGGTCCACAGGGGAAGGGGCTTTTCCTCAGGGTTGGGGCTGGAGGGTGAGGGGTGAAACAATGGGGTGGCCGTGTGTGTGTTTCTCAGGGAAGGGTTGCGCATCAAGGGGTTGGATGTGTGTGTTTCTGGAAGTAAGGGTGCACAACAAGGGGGGTGGAGTATGTTTATTGGGGTAGGGGTGGGCAAAAAGGTGGGGGAGGGCATGTACCTGCAGGTATGTGTGTGCAACAAGGGGCTGGGTATTGTTTCTGGCGGTAGGTAGGGGTGCGCAACAAGGGTGGGTGTTGTGTTTCTGGGGGTAGGAGTGCAACAAGGGGGTGTTTTTTCTGGGGGTAAGGGTGCAAAAGGGGGCATATTTGTGTTTATGGGGGTAGGGATGCACAATAAGGGGATGAGGGGTGTCTGGGGGTAAGGGTGCACAACAAGGGGGGTGTCTCTGGGTGAAGGACTGCACAACAAGGGGTGAGGTTTCTAGGGCTAGGGATGTAAGGGTTTTTTGGGGTTAGGGCTGTAAGGGTTCTGTAAGTAAGAGAAAAACTCTTAAACTCTCTAAAAAGGAGTTAAAAGAAAGAGGGCTCTGCAAAGGTTTGTAGGAGTCAAAAGAAAGGGGTGTTGCAAGGGTTTGTAGGTTTAGGGCTGTAAGGGTTGTTTAAGTAACAGAAAGAAACTCTTCAGCTCTCTAGAAAGCTCAAATAATTTCTTTTGCTGCAGAAAGAGGAGAATGCATATAATTCCAGTGAGTCAACAACAGCTTTTACTATGAGCCATGATTTGTCCACTGACAGAGAACTCCTCACAGTGGACCTTTATGGGAACACACATCTAAAAGGTGTGGGGAAAAGTAGGGGCCATGTAGGCCGCAACAGAATGAGACTTAATCATCTAACCTTTCTACCTGCACAAGCCAGGACAGGCATCACAATCTCACGTCTGCTCTTGGTTTAGAATTTCGGATAGAATTTGGCATAAGGCACTCATACCTTTTGAGAATATATTTCAGCTGTGGTGAGCAGCTCTGCTGCTGCATGAGCAAACTTAAACTGCTTACTGCCTAGAGAAAACAATTTCAAGGTCTAACTGCTTTTGAGACCCCACCTGGAGCACTGTGTTCAGCTCTGGAGCCCCCAGCACATGAAAGACATGGGCCTATTAGAATGAGTCAGTCCAGAGAAGGGCCAAAAAGATGATCAAGGTGCTGGAGCCCCTCTCCTACAAGGACAGGATTAGGGAGTTAAGGTTGTTCAGCCTGGGGACGAGAAAGCTGTGGGGAGACCTTATAGCAGCCTCTCAGTACCTAACAGGGGCCTACAGGAAAGGTGGGGAAGAACTCCCCGGGGGGAATAGTGATAGGACAAGGGAGAATAGCTTTAAACCAAAAGAGAACAAAGTTTAGATTATACATCAGGAAGAAGTTCTTTACTCAGAGGGCACTGAGGTACTGGAACAGGTTTCCCAGAAGCTGTGGATTCCCCATCCCTCAAAGTGTTTAAGGCCAGGCTGGATGAGGCTTTGAGGGTCCTGGTCTGGTGGGAGGTGTTCCTGCTTCTGGCAGGGGGGCTGGAATTACATCATCTTTGAGGTCCCTTCCAACCCAAACCATTCTGTGAATCTGCAACAGTGGTAGCTCAGCATAAGGCATCTAAAAAAAGTTCACCAGTATTTTGAACTCTACATTGCTACTGCTACAGTACTGTCCAGAGTCAGGTTTGATAAAGCCTCAGAACAGAATGTAAATATATCCTTCAGAATATAACTTTAGTACAAGTCCGAGACTTTTTTTCTGGATTAAAAGCAGTACAGAGGCATAAAGAGCATTGTAAATTACAAGTGTTCCGGTCAAAATAGCCATCTATGGTCCTCAGTGACATCTCCTGATGGTGCACACACAAAGAGGCATACTATTACTGCCAGCTTTCTTTTACTAATCAACTTGCACTTTTCAAACAATTTTGCACACATTTCACGCATCAAGAGGAACAATACAAAATTTTGTTACTCTTGCAGAATGATTACCTTGGACGTCACTTTACATTGGAAGAAAATCAACTAAAAAGCTACTTAGATACTAATCTTTCAACTGTTTTGTTTACACATAATTCGGACAAGAACCTTTCAAGGAGTAGGTTATTTGTAGTCTTCCCTTACAGAAGGTTTTTGCACAATGGAAATTTGTCCTGCCTGACAAGGATCTTGTAATGAGGTCCACACAGGAGAAGGAATGAAATAGTCAAAGTGCAGCACAAAATGGATTTTCTTCCTGCAGGTTAGTATTTACATGAAACACTAACTACAATAGAACTTCACAAGCTACATTATTGTAAAACAGGTCATTCACTTGAGACAGGAGCATAAAAAACATAGCATTCTCCAGAAGAACATGCCCTGGCTCTGCTACATTGAATTAAGTCTTGCAGTAAAGACTACCTTTTGCTATGTTCTTAAGCCTTAATACGGCCTAAGGTTTAGTAAAACCACACTGCAAACAACAATAAACTCTGATAAATCAACACAAACACAAAGGGCAGGATCTCCCTCCATTATCAAATCATAATTGTGGACATCTTCCTAGTCCCCTGCATTCTAAGAACACAAATCCTTTCCAGCCACCATTAAGTGATGCATTACTGACATCTCTCTGTTGCCAAGACACTTAAACTATGCTACATCCTCAACTATGATAGTTGTAAGTCCCATTCCTATTTTTCAGGGGTTGCCTGTCCGGATTCCATTAAAACAACATAGTACCTGCTGCACCACCTGAAATGCATGGAGATTAATATAATTGCTAACAAGCCTTTTCTTTCTGGCTTCTTTCAAGACTATCACAATTGTTTCCACTCCTTTCAGCAAGTAGATTGCCAAAACAAACAAACAACAGGAACCTATAGATCTGGAAGACATCCATTCCTCTGGATATATCCATATTCTAAGCACATAATGTCACCATCTAATTTTCTTAAGTGTACTCCAGCAGCATAAGACAACAGTTCAGCACTTGATTCCTTCTTAAAGCTTAACAAACAAACCACCCAAAGACACCAACAGACCTTAAGCTGGACCAGTCCCCTCTAAATAAATAAATAAATAAATAAATGCTTAAAGAAGAAAGTAAGTCTGATGGAGCTTGCTTCTATAAATAGAAGGCTGATAAGCACCACCCAAAATGCTGCATCCAATAGTTGTGTCATGGTGATGGAAGCTCACCTGCTTGACTGACTGCTGAAACGAAAGGAAAGGCTGGTAACAGAGGCTGTAATTAGAGAGAAGAAAGTATTAGAATCAGCTGGAAGCTCTGATAGGTAGCTCCCCACCTGAGTTTATGCTCCTAAAGTACTTGTTACTTGTTTTGCTCTAAATTATTATTTTTTCACTGTTCTGAGAAGAGTTATTTTCAGATCAAAAACAGCCACTGTTGCTGCATTGTAGAAAACCAAATGTGGTTATCTACAGGTGGAGTGTGTTTTTGATTGTATTGTAATTTTGAACACACAACAAAACTAAATATATATATATATTTTAAAAACAAACAAACAAACAAAGAACAACACGTGGGGAGAGCAGCTGTGGCATGGTGGCGAGTCTCTGGGAAAGCCATCGTCTGGCAGAAGAAAGCCCAGGGGGACTTTTCAGAGGTAAGAAGCCTTCAAACATATGGGGACCCATAACTCATGCACCGAGCGTGCAAGACATGTCCGTGGCACGAAGATTGAGGATGACTTCTCAGAGGTAAGCAGGTTTCCCTTTGTTTCCCTGTCCTCTCAGGAGCCCTCCTTACACTCTTTGTGCACTCTTGAGGCCCACAACTTTCATTTTTTTCCTCTACTTAGCATTCCTAGTCCCTGCTATGGGTAATAATTGCCTCACGTGACCTGAAAATTAACCTGATATTCACATTTTTAAAAAAGGTACAGTGCTGAAGAAGCTTCCAAGGTGGAGTGTAGCTATGCTACAGAAAAGATCCTGAGGCCTCAAGCCTTAGATGTTGATTGCACTGGGAAACCGGGCATGCTGACTCTGAGAGGAACAGCAGTACAGAGTGCAGAGCAGAGCAGAGGCGCTGTGGCTAAGCTCTGTGACGAGATGGGAACTTAGTTATTCTTGTGCATAACCGAGACTGGTTTCCAGCAGAATAACAATGCTATTAGCGGGGTGCTCTCAGACGCCAAAAGCAAAGATACGCTTGCCTTGGACAGACCCTGAAATGGGGCAGAAGCAACGATAGGGATGGACAGTTCTACCTCAAGGCCACCAAATGTATTTGGGCAAGTTCCAGAAGAAATTTTTGAGCAATTCCAGCTTCCAGAAAAGGTGTTCGTGTTCCTCTTGCAATATGCAATGAGAGAGGACCAAGCATACCCGGACCCTCTCGATTAAAAAAAAAAAAAAAAAAAAAAAGAAAATTTTTTTTCTTTTTTTTTTTTTAAAAAAAAGGCAACACAGAGGCAAACCTCTGCCCTAAATTGTGTAAACGCATAAAGCTGTGAGTGGCGTTTTTTTTGTTTTGTTTTTAGCTCTCACATCAGCACTGCTCCGTAAGCTGTGCCTGCCGTTCTGCTTCCGCGCACGCGCGCAGCCAGGTGGCTCGCCTAAGGCGGGGGAGCCGAGCGGCGCCGCAGGACCTCTGCGCGTGGCGAAATGGCGGCGTCCTTCTCTGAAGCGGGTCCGGGCTCGGGACGCCACGCCACATCGAAGGGCGGTGCCGCGACGAGGTTGGTGATCGGGTCGGTGCCTCCCCCGGATGGGATGGGGCGAGGCGGCGGGCGGTTCGGGCGCCACTGGATCGGTGGCTTCTGCGGAAATAGCCCTTGTGCGGGGGGGGGGGGGCGGCGCCGGACCAGACCGGGCGTGCGCGGGAGTTTGCACTGCGCAGGGCTTCTGGGGGCTGGGGGAGAGGGGGGCGGGAGGAGGCGGTGGCGGCAGGGGAAGGGGAAGGGGAGAGGTGCGGTTGCGTGCGCTTGGCCGACTCCCCTCTGGGTTGGATGGGTGCTCCGTCCCGAGGCGTGCTGGGAGCTGTAGTTCTGTGGTGCCGGGCTCCGGGCCGTGGGCGGCCGGTCTTTCCCCGGGTCGGGCCGTGCGCGCCGGGAGGCGCAGGTTGCCGCTGGCTGCGAGCGCGGCTGCCGGCGGTGAGGCGAGCGAGAACTATGGGGGGTGCCTCCCCGGAGCGTCGGGCTGGGAGAGGTCGGGGTTGCGGCGGCCGGGCGCGGGTCCTCGCTGCGCTTGATCATTGGACTGTGCCTCGGAGGTTTTCCTCTCCCTGCGTTCTGACAGCCGGCTCTCTCCATGTTCTGCGGTTCACCAGGGCAGAAGCAGCTCCCCGGCGCTAGGACCCCTGCGGGGTTTGTTGCCGAGTGAGGGTGGTACGGCAGGTAAACTGAGGAAGGCTGCAGCTGGTGTGCTGCAGTCACAGGTTGTCCAGGTAAGATGTAGCGACCTTCGGGTGAAATCGAGGCGTGAAGGGGATTTTGTTGGCTCTTTAGATAGCTGTTCCTACCGAAGATCCCACAGGTCACAAAATGTAGTAGTAACCTTACAGTTTCACGTTCTGTAGCATCTTGTGAGAAACACTCTGTAGCCAATAGTTTAGACTCAGGTGAGGATCTCAGTAAAGCAGTAATTTATTCACAATTCTCCAGGCTGAACAATCCCAGCTCCCTCAGCCGCTCCTCGTAAGACTTGTTCTCCAGACCCCTCATCAGCTTTGTTGCCCTTCTCTGGGCTCTCTTGAGCACCTCGATGTCCTTCTTGTAGCGAGGGGCCCAAAACTGAACACAGTACTCGAGGTGCGGCCTCACTGGAGCCGAGTACAGGGGGACAATCACTTCCCTAGACCTGCTGGCCACACTGCTTCTTACACAAGCTGGGATGCTGTTGGCCTTCTTGGCCCCCTGAGCACACTGCTGGCTCATATTCAGCTGACTATCAACCATCACTGCCAGGTCCTTCTCTGCCAGGCAGCTTTCCAACCACTCAGCTCCCAACCTGTAGCGCTGCTTGGGGTTGTTGCGCCCCAGGTGCAGGACCTGGCCTTGTTGAACTTCACAGAGTTGACCTCAGCCCCTCAGTCCAGCCTATGTAGATTCTCTTTCAGAGCCTTCCTACCCTCAAGCAGATCAACATATGCACCTAACTTGGTATCATCTGTGAACTTACTGCAGGTACACTCGATCCCCTCATCCAGATCATCGATAAGATATTAAAGAGGACTGGCCCCAGTACTGAACCCCAGGGGACTCCATTAGTGACCAGCCTCCATCTGGATTTGACTTCATTCACCACAACTCTTTGGGCCTGGCTACTCAGCCAGTTTTTAACTCAACGAAGTGTATGTCAGTCCAAGCCATGAGCGTAATGATAGTGAAAGTGATTTCACTCTACCAAATAAAAACATAAATTACTTTTTTTGACTGTCTTGAAATAATGGTATTAATAAGAGGTGGGAAAACCAGAACTGTTGCATTTCTAGAATTTTAGGTGGCCTGAGAAACACACAGCATGCACTAGGGTAGCTGCACGAAAGTATCTCAAATATGGGCTCTTGCAAACAGAAAGACCTCTGGGAGGTTACTGATACTTGGTCAGAGTGGGCTGACTCAGCCATCATCCTGCCTTTGTAATATTTCATAGCAGTTTTGCGATATTGCAGGTCTTCAGCTCATGGAAGACTTTTCTTCCAGGGATTTTCCTTACTGCTTTTACTTCAAACATTACCAGGAAACAAAGTTGGAAGTTCTCACGTGTCCCCTCAAGGCTAGGAGCTGGTTACCCAGCAAGAGGCTTCCTTAAGTCATGAGTTCACTAGCTGATTAAATAACTGGCCTGGGGCAGGAGCATGTGGGACAAAATACTGCGGACAGCACAATCCACGCATTTGGTTGCTTAATGGCACTGAGCTATGCTTTTGTAGCAGGACTGTGTCAGAAGTAGCAGTAATCCAGGGAAATGACGCAAACCTGGAGGTAGGCGGTCAGCTTTGTGAGCAGGGAGTGCTGGTGTGGTCCTGCTCCCCTGACTACACCTGTGGGAATTAAATAGGAGAAGGGAGTATGGATGTGGTATTTCAGCCCTTTCAGGGAGCTGAACATCACCTGAAAAGATGATGACATCCCTGCCCTGAAGGACCTGCCTGCCACAGTCTGTAGCATTGTGTGCATTTGTAGATTGATGGACCTGAGAGTAGAGCACTGTGGGATGCTGGGGCTAGGATTTGATTTGGGGATTCTCCCCTCCCCTCCCCCAGCCCCACGAGCTTATGTTTTATGTTTAAGCTTGGGAAATAAAACAGGAAAGCCTTACAGAGCCTCAGCTCCACCTAGGAACGAATAGCAGTGTGTTTGCTTCTGGAAGAACTTCCCACTGCTGAGGATGGATGGGGTGGATCCCAAAATGAGGGGGTTGTGTGAGAGCTGGTGATAGTGCCAGCAGGACTCCACAGCTGACAAGAGACATCGTTGGTTTTGATGTCCATCACAACAGAAAATGCTCATCTCATTCAGTTTGGGGAGGTATCAAACTCACAGACAAACAATATCAGTGAGGCTCTGTTATGCAGTCATGGTGAAAGTTTAACATAGTAAAGAAACAGTGTGTATTAGGTAAGGTGAAAAAGGGAGACACGCCTCCAAGAAGTCCCATTTTTTTGGTCTTTAAGCTTTTTTTTTTTGGGGGGGGGGGGGATAGGGGGAAAGAGATGAATATTACCCTCCAGAAAGGTTACCAAATCCATGTCTAAAAAGGTCAGCTGCTAAAGCTTTTATAAATGATCTTTGCACTGCAAGTTTCATTTTTCATGAAGCCAAATTGAGATAAATCCAAAAATGTCTATGGGTTTAAAAGAATGCTTACTAAAATATTCTTGTCATTCACAATAATAATGGAGTGAATGAACTTGTTCCACACAGTGACCTTACTTTTTTTTTTTTTTGGATTCCAGCAAACTGTGTACAATCCCAGGAGTACAGTGTTGTGTAGCATTGTCATTCTGCTCCACCACTCTAATGTCTAACAAAGTAATGCTTTCTGGATGTTGTCTACAAATTCTTTCCTTACTTATGTAAGAAGTCAATGCATATATTGCATAGTTTGTCATAGAGCATAGCTGAAGTACTGTTTTATTTATATTTATGAAGACAGCAGAATCAGAGATAGCAGCTCGGCGACTCCCCCCGAGAAGGCCATTAAGATAAAACAGTTAACTTTCTACCATATATTAAAAAGCCTGGAGGAATTAGCATAGCTTGCAGAAAATTATGCTGGAAAGAGATGATATTTGACAGCAATCATGAAAATGTCATCTTTTTACCAAGAATGATGAGAACTGATGCGTCTGCCCTGTGTTTGGATAGGTAAGTGAGTTAAGAGGAGCTGAGCATAGTTTGCAGGGGAATTGGGAAATGAAAGATCATTTAACCTCTTTTCCATGCATTTATAATCCCATACTTTTGTTATTATCTGGAATTTTTAATGTAACTCTCTATTTCAACTGGTTCAGTTATATGGATAGCAGCTAACTATAAAAAGAACTGAAATCCTGAAGTGTCCTTGGAGCTGCTAACTCTACCTCTATATGTTCCCTAAGAAAATGTCACAGATTTAAAGACGGTGTGTATTAAATGAAGGATGAGAAGAAACACCTTTTTCGGATACTTGCACTCCTCTTCTTCAGCTCGTGCAGAAGGCTGACAGCCTGCCTCACTCTCATTAGTGCTGTCCCACCAGCTCCTTTAGGAGCTCAGCACTGCGTTTGGCCTGCTGCAGTCTTCCCAATCCCCTCATTTCTATGCTGCAACACCAACATCCACTAGAAGTCAGGTAGGATCTGAAGACCTTTGACACTGCTAAATGATCAAACCTCAGCTGTCAGTTTTAGCCCTTTGTATTCCAGTTGTTTGCTTTGCTGGGCGATGGTTTCAATTTTTTTTATTTTGTAATACGTTCTTTGTAGAGGTTATTTTAAGCAGACAAGTAGGTAGCCTCCTTCCTTCAGTGGATTTTTGCGGGTTTTGGCTGAGCTTTGCACATCTGAACAATTGCCCATTGGTTGTTCTGGTCTTGACACATCTCTAAAAACTTTGTCTGCCTCTCCTCTTTGTGTATTAAGATGCACATTCGTGCAAAAATAATGTATGCTTAAAGATGCCCAGTGGTTTGGGGGAATTTTCAGCGTTTCACATATAAGGTTTCATGTTTACTTAACTACTTAAGTGTAGTCCTGGCTTTAAGCTTAGGTGTAGCTAATGATTGTTACTCAAGTGGTTATAAAGTTTAAAATGTTTGTTTGTATATATATAGATGAAACTGAGTCTGTGGAGTGAAAGACTTTTCTGCTTGTTGCATATACTCGTGTATCAGCAGGCTCATATGCAAGCTGATCGAAACTGGATGCCAAGCTGTGCCTTTTTTGTTGCCTGGAATATGCAATCTGTGCGCCTTGGGTGTACCTTGTCTATTAACTATCTTTCACATTGTGCCACTCCATTAATAATATGAGTGGATGTACCCAGCACCACCTTGGGGCTACATAGAATGTGGAAATTTCTAGTATGTTAAGGTTACTCTGCTAACAAAACTGACTTACTAGCTGCTTGCTGTTTCTGTGTTTTTTTTTTTGTTTGTTTGTTTGTTTTTGTTTTTTGTTATTCTTTTCAGTAGTCTCCCCAAAAGTTTTTGTGGACATGTTGTGTATCTTTGCTATTCTTCCAGGATTCATTTGTCAGGAAAGATGACCATGAAATCTGAGGGTTGTGGACAACCATCTACCAGATGGTTGTTGCAGATGCCTTTGATCACGTTATTTGTCCTTTTAGCTTGCTCTTTCCTTTATCTTGAGTTGAATTTTTTTGCAGTGCTATGTTTGCAGTGGTCATATTGCTGCTGAGGTGCATTTAATTAAAAGCGATTTTAACGGTAATTGTGAATTCACTGAGTGTGGCTTTGTATAATGACTCCCATGATCATAACATTTTTTTCCATTGTCACAGATATGAGAAAAGTTCTTTCCAGCGAGATGTAGAAGGAATTAATTATACCTCTGCCTCATCCTGTGAGACCAGGAGACATGGAGTAATTGTAAGCTGCGATTCTCAGGAGACATATTAAGAGTCTTGGGTTCCTTCTCTGCCTGCCCCCCAAGGCCTTTGGGATGAGAAATCTTAGGCTTTATGTTTTTCCCTGTGAAATACTGTTGTGTTAAGGGGTGTAGCTGACTAACTGTTATGGGTCTGGTCGGATTCAGGTTACTGAACTATAATGGCTAGTATGGCTGTATTGGGTCTGGCTGGAATGTTAACTTTCCCAGCAGCAGCCCATACAGTGCCGTACTCTGTACTTGTAGCTGGAACAGCAGTGTTATCACACCAGTGTTGTGTCTGCTGCTGAGCAGCAGTGGCACAGTATTAGGCCTTTCTCTAACCCTCCTAGGGGATGGGCAAAAAGTGAGGAGAGAAACATCACTAGGGCAGCTGACCTAAACCAATCAAAGGGATATTCCATACCATGTGATGTCACACTCAGCAATAAAAGGTGGAAACAGGAAGAAGAGGGGAGGGGTGGGCTCTCATTTGGAAGACGGCGGTCCTGCTCTCGAACACCGGCTGCGTGCGTTGAGGCCTTGCTTCAAGGACGTGGTCAATCATCGCTCATTTGTGGGAAGTAGAGAGTAATTTCTTTCCTCTGCACTTCCATATAGCCTTCATTTATTTTGTTTGTTTGTTTTCCTCCCTTCTTTTTATTTTCCTTTTTTTCCCCTCCCTTTCCCCTTTCCCTTTTTATTTTCCCCTTAGTTAAATTGTTTAGTTCATGGTAGTCTTTATTTAATTGTTATAATTATTTCCCTTTAATTAAATTATCCTTATCTCAACCCGTGAGTTGTTCTTTGCTTTACTTCTCCCCCTCCTCATCTAAAGGAGGGGGAGTGAGAGAGCGGTTGTGGGGTTTAGCTGCCCAGTACGGTAAAACCACCACAATGGCACTGTATGGGCTGCTGCCGGGAAAGTTAACATTCCAGCGAGACCCAGTACGGGGGGTCTTCTATAATCACAGCCCCTTTATTAATCTGATTGGTCCCTTTTCTTATCTCTATTTACCTTTTTCAGTTACTTAGATACTTTACTGATTACATTGGATTTCAGTGGTTTGAAAACTATTCATTCACCTAGCAATAATCTCGCAGATACCCATAATACTTATCTTGACTATCTCTTGTTTAGATTAAATAAACATTTGCGGTATGCATTTCTAGTAGCAATACTGGATTCACTACCAAGACACCTGCTGCTATGTTAATGTTTACCAAGAGCTGGGGTAGGGAAAGCTGCAGGGGGTAGGCGGGTGGTTAGGAAGCACAGATGGGGCTGTGGGATGGTGGCTAGGAGCATCTTGCCCCGGAGCATGCCGGGAGTTGTGGTCTTGGGGCTCTGGCCTTCTGGTCGGCCACATTGGTTTCCGGAACATGCTGGGAACGGTAGTTTCGAGTTGCCACTCGGCACGGGGCCATTTAGGATGGGCAGGTACTTCCTCCGCGCCAGTGGAGCGGGGTGCCTTTTCTGGTAGTTTCCGTCTGGTGTTCCCTTAACGAGCATACGGCCTGGGAAGCCGTGCCCGCTGTTCTGCTTCCGCCCATGCACAGAGCGGGCTGGCGCCGCTTTGAACAGCGAGCGGTGCTGTAGGCAGAGTCGCTGCATGGCGCGTCGCTCTCTGCTGCCACCTGCTGGTGAGAGGGAGGTACTGCAGGCGGAGACGACGCGCATGCGCTATAGTAATTGCCAAGATTGGTGCCCCGCAGCATGCTGGGAGTTGTGGTCTTTGGGCTCCGAGCTTACATTCGGCCACTTTGGCTTCTGTGGCATGCTGGGAAATGTAGTTCCACGTTGCCGCTCGGCTTCCAAGTCAGGAGCAACATGGAGACGGGTAGGAAGGGTAGTTGTTTCCTCCGCACCAGTGGACCGGGGTGCCTCTTTGCTGCTTTCATGTGGTTTTCCGCACGGATCCCACTGCTTGTGTTAACGATAAAACGTTTTGAGAAGCCGTGCCTGGTTCCACGCAAGGGGACGGGGAAAAAGCAGTGCAGCCAGCGGGGCCCGGCGCGCATGCGCGGTAGTGGTGCGTCGCCCTATGCCGCCACCTGCTGCTGGGAACGTGATACTGCAGGTGAAGCAGCTGGGGCAGGGAAAGCCCCGGCGGGGGGTGGGGTGGGGCGTCGGGCTGCAGGGCGGGAAGCTGGGGGCTGGCTCCGGGGTATCCGCAGAGCCAGGTGACCTGAGGGGCTTGCTGGGAGTCGTGGTCTTTGGGTTTTGAGCTTCCTGTTGTTATAAATTAAGTCTCAACTCAATCTGAAATTAGTAATATTTGTAAAAGAAATATTTATCAAAGGTATAAAAAGCAAGTAAACAGCGCTGTGTGTGCGGGGAGTCTACGCTCCACCAACACGTACACACAAACATCAAACATTCTAAATATACAGAACATTGCTTTTACATACTAAACCCGAGTATGCATATACAATCAGAAAAGGTAACAAACAATCCTTTAAGTTCCATGACTTAACAGTCTCCATTTTCCATTCCTTTTCCTGATTACAAACAGGTCTCCATTTTCCATTCCTTTTGAACACTATGTCTTGCTTTAAGTTGTCAAGCAACTCGGTCTTTGGGCCTTATGTATCCCGTTCTTCCCAGATTGAAGAAAAGCATATCCATCTCCTTTTCAAGGCCAATGAGGCCTGGGTCAAAAGGCACATCCAGGTCACCAGGGGGCGGAACAGCAAAAGCTTTTGACGGCTGTAGCAGCAGAGGGGCCGATGGCGTAGCAGTAAACGAGCCCACAGCTCCCTCACTGTCTGGCAAACCACACGTTTCTGACTGTGGTCCCACACAGCTCTTTAAGGCCTCAGAGACTGCTCACCAGGTGCCAAGCAATTCCACTGCAACCTTGTCGTTTTTAGTTGCAGAGTCCCATACCTTGACCCATGGTCCCATATTGTACCCTTGGTCCCATATTTCAGGGTCATAAACTGTCTGATTGTTAATAAGGATAATAAGCTGTAAAGTTATCAGGACAGTCTTTGTTTCTAAGGACGTATGATTCCCCATAATGTGCAACTGCCCAGTGAGGGGCAGTTGTGTGCGCGGGTCTGCTTCTCTCAGCTTGAGCTTCTTTCCAGCTCCGGTGCATCCATTTCCAGCAACTTTCAGTACAAGCTTCTCTGAGCGGTTTGCTGAGTTTGGCCGAACCCATCTTCATGAGGCAATCAAAGTGTTCCCGTCCTGGTCTCCATTCTGCTAGCCTGTTCCTTTTCATTCCTTTTTCCTGCTTCTTTATTGATGACATAACTTCATCGTGTTGCCTTTTTTTTAAATTTTTTTTATCTTGAGGATAGGCTCCCCTCTTATACCCTTCTCCCCACAGCAGTCCTTTTCAAAAACAACTTTTCATTGGTCAAACAACTTTGCAAATAACAGCAATGGCAAACACCCAGAAACTTTGGTTGGAGAACAAGCAACCCGAGACTGCATGGAGTCACCTTTCTTTGTGCCCTCTAAACTCTTTTATATTCCTGATGGCCTCATCGTTAAGAGTCTACTGTTATCATTAACCATGGGGTTTGCCGACCCCCATGGCACACTCCCACATCTCCTCCTTCTTTATTAATAGCAACTATTTTCTCGACAAGAATTACTACTCCATATACATGTATAACATTGTCGACCATGTTGGTTTCCATGGCATGACGGGAAACGTAGTTCTTCACATTGCTGCTCAGCTTCCTAGCTGGGAAGTGCACGTTGCTCATAGCAGTTATTTCCTCCCTGAGACAACGTGGGGTGTGGTTTTCCATGCGGTTCGCACTGCTTCCATTATTGAGAAAACTGTTTGGGAGGCTGTGTCTGTCATTCTCGGGATGAGGGCGGTAGCGCCCTCTGCCACCGCCTGCTGGCGAAAAAAATCAGTAACGCAGGCAGAGCCATGTAGGACTTCTCAGAGGTAAGCCTTCAATGGACGGGGACATCTAAACTCGTGCACCGAGCATGCGAGACAAATGTCCGTGGCACGAAGATCAAGGATGACTTCTAAGAGGTAAGCGGCTTTCCCTTTGTTTCCTTGTCCTCTCAGGAGCCCTCTTTACAATCCTTATACACATTTCAGGCTCACAACACTCCTTTTCTCTTCTACTTAGTATTCCTAGTCCCTGCCTAACCTGACCCCCTCCCCCCCAAACACACTTTCTAAGGACCTACATGCTTTGCTCCTCCTGAGGTCCTACAGGTCCCTTAAATCTGCACAGTGTCCTTTCCGGCTTGTAGTGTGCCACTATTTTTTCCCTGCTTCTTTTGAGAATGTCTGTACCCTTCTCAGATCTTGATTGGGTTGACTTTTTTGGACTCATCTGCATAGTTTTGGACCCATCTGCATTGTTTTTTAGATAGTCTACTAACATACGTTACTGCTTCTGTGAGTCATTTTACACTTCAATATAGTATTTTTGTGGTTTGTAATCTGCTACACTCCTAGATTATTTCTACCTATGTAAATAAAAATTTTGGCTAATTACAGTCAAAACCAGTTTTCGTTACCTACTTGGTCACGTTGTCATTTCAATGATCAGAACTGAAGTAAAAGCACAGGAATTGCTGTTTTTAGTAACACTCCACACACTGTTGAGCTAAGCCAAATAAAAAACACAGCTGCTGCTCCTCCTGCTCTCTTTATCCCTTCCTGTGCTTTGCCCCTCCTCTTTCCCAGGTGATTGGGCCAGGATGCTGGGTGGGGCCTGATGGTATACATGGGAATATAAATGTTGTTTTTGCAGAGTTATATTGTTTAGAGGAAAGGAATGTGGTATTGAGATATGTGTGCAGTGATAAGAAAGCTTAGCAGGCGACCTTGTAAAATGCAGACAACCAGACTCCTTAG